ATACGTCGGGCTCCGCTGTCAAAAGAAATCACGAACCACGCGCTGCATCTGAAGCCGCCCGCTCCCTCGAGCTCCCGCCACTCATGCCAGTCCGGTGGCGGCTTGACTCTAGAGAAGCGGGCCCCGCGCTGAGGTCGAACAAACTCCAACTTGAAAATAGCGGCGGGACAGCCCCGAGCATCTTCGCACAATCGAGGAGGAGCTTCCCCCGCCGATCCAGCTGAGCCAGATCAGAAGCTCAGGCACGAGGGTGGAAGGAAAGAGCACGCTTCGCCGATCTATCGGCGCCGGCATTTCCGAGAGCGATATGTCGCTCCTCAGGCGGGTGCCTTGAATAACTTGCTCTGGGCGGTGAGCAAGGGCGTAAAAGGCCCCCCCACGCTTCAAAACCTGGGGCCTGCTGGGCCGACCTACGCATTCCCGCGATAATCTGCTGAGGGGCCACCTGGGCCGCATCCGACAAGTTGGGCAGTCGAATAGGAAGGTCGCCTTGACTGCCAGGGGTGATCATGCGCGACGCGAACGCACAAACGGCGGCAAGACCAACATGTTCAACCGACTGCGGGGCCTGGGGCAGACAGGGCCAGATAGGAACCACCATCCTAGTCCGAGCTTTGCACTCGGGCCCTGGCCCCAAGAAAACCGCCGCGACAAGGCGCGGTTGAATTATGTCATGATGCCTGGGCGGCGGATCCATCTGCCACCGCATCGCATCTTTCACTGCGCTTAACAAAATCCTGGAGGGCCAGCGGTCCGCCCTCGCCATCAGGGACAAGAAGGCCCGTCGCCGCCGGGGGGAGGGGGCGTCGGGGCTCATCGGGCTGAGCCAACATGAGCCTACTCCAGAACAGGCGATCAGAAGGCTCGCTGGTTCGAGCAGCTCGGACCACCCCTGGGCGCACCATTTCATCTCGGACCTGCGCCATCTCGGGGGGCCACATAGCAACTGGCGGCAAAGAAACATGGACTGCCCTCAGCACGGGCACTTCCCATCCGAGGCGCGCCCCGAGGACCAGGGCCGATCGGCTGCCCAGGCACCCCGGACGAAACAAGCGCAGATCCAACACTAGGCTCGCGGGGTGGTTCGCACCGAGGAGAAGGGGGAGCGGAGGGGGGTCGACCGACGAGCGCGCACCAGCGAAAGCGGGGGCATTCGTGGCGAGCCTTCTCTCGCGGGATCTCCGCGCGCACCCCTGCAGCGGGCTGAACGCCAAGGCATGGGGGCTTGCGCATCAAATCCGCCAGGTTGCCTAAATCAGATAGCCAGCAATGAAAACTTCAGGCCTTCCGACCAATGCGGCGCAAACTCAGGAGCGCGCGACGACCTGGGCCTCAAAGGAGCGCCATAGCATGGGGCCCCACTCGGGGCTGCTGCGCCTCGAGATCCCCAGACCCGGATGCGGCCCCGGAACGAGAGGGACCCGTGCTCGGAGTCGTCAGACAGCGCCAGAAACACAATACCCACTGCCGCCGGGGCCCGGGCGGGGCCGCCGCGGAGGCGCGCGTTAGCTTCGGGGGGAACTCCTCGACGTGCCGGCGCGCGTGCCGACGGGAGCACACTCCCGATCTCGGCGAGCACGGAGCCGCGCCCAGCTGCCAGCTGAACCCCTGGAACGCACATCTTGCCCACCCGAAGTCCGCGGCGAGCAACCTTCTTGCGAAAATGCTCGATGGAAACACGGTGTTGTTGTTTTTTCGCGGCCTGGGCCCTTTCCCCGCGCTCGGCCAATCCGCCGTTGCAGCGCCGGGTCGCCGCCGAGGAAGACGAAAGCGTTGTTGGCCAGGACGCGCGCGGCGCGCTGGGTCGACGCGAACGCGGCGGCCTTCTCCTCAACCAGCCCCATACCGAGGTGGCTCTCGAAAACCGTCTGCAAATCTGCGGCGGCCGAGGCGGGCGCGCTGATCACTATGCCGGGAGCACCGGACATTCCGACGGCATCATCGTCTATGCAGGACCCGATCGAGACCTTCGGGTTGCAGGTGCAAGACAAACCAAACTCGAACATGGCATAGACGTCGACGAAATGATCGTTGAGAATGCCCTCTGCAAGCAGGCCTGATGCCGCGAACTGTGGCAGGGGGCTGCGGCGGGCTCCAAATCGAGGCATCATGGGGCCGCGCCAGAGGCTGCAGGGGGTCGCGGTGAGAACCCGAGGGGAACCCTGATGTTCAGCACGAGCCCGAAGCCAGGGACTCGCAACTCTTGCGATCATGCCAGATCAACCCAACCGTGATGACGCCATTACTGGGCGCTTCTCCAGCCTGCAGACTGCCTCCAGACGGCGGCGTCCGAGGGCCCACCAAGCCCTAGAGACCGGCAGGGCTCGCGGACCCGCTCCAGGAAAGGATCAGCCTCCGACGGCCTGAAACGCCCCAGCATCCGAACTTGTGCTGCTCAAGGTAGAGCAGGCCGACGCCCACCTCTGGGTTTCTGTAGGAGCGGCGGCAGCATCCACGGGAGCTGCGGCGGGAACAGGCCGAGGCGCTCCATCGCCTCGAAGAGAAGCGACATCACCACCGAGGCGGCGTCACTCATGAGACTGACATGGCGACTGCTCATGGCATCTGACGACTGCGCCGCGCGCGTGTTAAAATACCTCGATGCCGCCCGAGTCTGACAGGGGACGCTGGGGACGCCCGTTCAAAACAATGGCGATATGGGATCCAGGTCCACGGAGGAGCAAGCGCGGCCGTCCCGACGCCTCAAAGCTCGACCGTTCCAGCCTTCAGGAGCTCGACGGGGACCGAGCTGTAGATCCCTGGGGCCGCCCGCACTGCCGCTGGCTCGCCCCTTTTGACGCTCGGTAGAACGGCGCGTCGCACGAGTTGACCCCCAAAGGGCCTCCTTTTGCCAGCTATCCCAAGACTGCCTCGGGCCCTTCTCCCCGAGGTCATTGCCATCTGAGAAGTCCTCGGCGGAAGCTCGGCACGCGCGCGGTGGAGCCGCCGCCGCCCCGAGCAAACCTGGAGCAAATATTCTGAAAGCTTAGGCCCATAGAATACCAGCGCCCAAGATGACCTGATGGCCTTCCCACGCCGGCCCGAATACCTCGGCATTAATTCACAGGGAACGCGCCATCTCCAGCTCCGCACAGCCAGCGAAAACCGACCACGCTGCATTCAAACTAGCCCACGCCTCACCAGCACGACTATGACGAGCATGGGCAACAGCATACACAGCAAAGTAATGAGCTCCCTCCTGGCGCCCCTCATCTGATCGAGGTCCCATGGGCAGCTCGAAAGGCAGCTGCTGCAATGACATGTAGACAAAGCTGGTTACCCCGCAGTGCATCTGGGAACAGAGCTACAGAGACTGATCGATGAGACGAGCTTCGACCTCCCAAAGCGCATCAACGGTGGCCCCTGCGGACCAGACTAGCACCGCCAGGGCCCACCAGGAAGGAATCGAATATGGGTAATGGTGCTAGACGGAGGGACCAGCGCGCCGGCATCGTCGGCGCCGCCACCAGCGCGCCTAACTTGCGAGCAGACCCAGAGCCTTCTACAACCTCAGGAGACACGTCGAGCGCTGAAATCGCCCACGATGATCGAGTGAGCCGGACCTGACACCGAAGGGCCCAACGAGGCAAAGTCCCCCGCGTTGATTGGGCCTGAACCTTCAGCCGACCTGGGGCGGACCGAGCAAAGCAACAACGCAGGCGACCCAAGGAAGTCCACCAAAGGCTCTAGTACGCGACTGGGCGCCACGGAAGCACCCCATTTCTGAAGGCCGGCGGAGCCCAATGCTCAATCTGTCGAACACAGCCTTTCCAGCAGACAGCTCGCCAACATCTCGACTCTGATTGTCTGGGGCAAATCAGAGCGCGCCGCCCAAGACGTTGGGCCTCGTCCGCGGCGCCGCCGATGAGATCAACGTTGGCGCCGACTTTCCGCGCGCAACAGAGAACTGCTAAGCCCCCGCGCAGGCGCCTCTTCACCGCGGCCCAGCACGAACCACTTAGACACTCTACGCAGCGCGAGGCGGGACCGGGGGGCTCGCGCAGCAGACCGCAACGCGTTGGAGCAGAGCATAGCGCCATCCGCACTTGCGTTTCTTAGCCCGAAACCCGACATGCTCGATGATATCCGAGCAGACGCGCCTGCCATGGCTGCCCGCCCTGGCAGCCGCGGTAAGATGGTCGACGCCTTCATTGAAACATTCAAAACCATCAGGGCCCACCCCGCAACCGGTTGACTCTCACTGCCATTGACCGCCGAAGAAGCACCCGCGCCCGGGGAAGCTCCCCGGGGGGGCCGAGCAAGGAGGAAGAACGGGGGCTTGGGCAGCCCGCGCCTTGCACTAGGCCTCGAAGAGTTTCTGGCACCCCGCGAACTGCGGGGATGCCATGAGCGGGGGCACCTGGGGGGCGCCCACAGCGGCGCCCCCGCCCAGCGCGCGCGCGCGCGCGCGATCGTGGAACTCGCTGGACTAGGCAGCGCGTGGGCCATGGTCGACCAGAGCCCAAGCTCCGCGGCCTCAATCTCCACGAGCACCTGCCGAGCCTTCCCTGAATCGACTGCAACTCCTTGGCCGCTGCCTCGAAGAGGGCCCGCTGAATCTCGACGCCCTCGCCCAGGCGCCCGAACTCGGCGCCGGGGCGCTGCGACGCGCGCGACGAACGTCCCAACAGCGGACGCCTGGGACCTGGGAGGGGATCGGGACCCTGTCCAATGTGGCACCACGGGACACGCGAGAATGCCCCTGCAGGAGCTTGCTGGGAACTCAGGCATGAGGTCTTTCGGCCTGAACGCTCAGCCTAATGGCCCGGAGCAGCGATCGCGGCTCTGACGACGGCAAATGCAGCACAGGCCGTGCGACCTGAGCCAGATCAGCTGACTTGAACCAAAATGGCCACGGAGGAGAGGAGAGGAGAGGGCAGGCGAGGAGAGGAGAGGAAAAGAGAGGAGAGGAGAGGAGAGGAGAGGAGAGGAGAGGAGAGGAGAGGAGAGGAGAGGAGAGGAGAGGAGAGGAGAGGAGAAGAGAGGAGAGGAGAGGAGAGGAGAGGAACATCGCGTTCGCTTCTCTTTCAGTGGCTCTCTTCACGACACCTGCGAGCCGAAATCCTGCGAACGGCGTGCATGCTGGCCCGGGACAGACACATAGAATGAACAGGAAAGGGATGGTGGACGGCGGCAAGAGCGAGAGACGAGAGAGGGAGAGCGAGCAGGAGGGGAAACAAAGGATGAGAGCGCAATGCACAGAACGGTGTGTATGAAAAAGCGTGCAAGATGAGAATGAGCATTCCCGCCGGCATCGCGGCTTGCCCTACGACAGCTCAGTTGGGAACGCCAAGTGAATCACTGCAGAATCGAATCACGTCGTCACATATAGCTTCATGATTGCACGATAATTATCGCTCGGTGCCACTTCACATAGGCATGTCCGGCGGCCTGGCGGCAGCATTCTTTGACAGCCATCATGGAGTGCATGGCAGGGACAACAGGCGCCTCGCGGACAGGACAGCGAGCAGGCTCACTGCCAGGTGCTGCTTCCGCTCGCTCGCGTAGGTTACCCCGTACGTCTGCAGGAGCTGGGACAAGCGGGTGCACGGCCTTTGGGCGCCTGACAGCGTGCGGACAACGTACGGGAGCACCTCCAGCGCCTTCTCCGTGACCGGCTGGCTCTGCGTGTCCAAGAATACCACCACGTCACCAGGGTCGACGCCGGCTGCCCCGGCGGGCATTGGCCCGGCCATCTGCCGGAGCATCTCCGGCAGCGGGGTGTTGTCCGCATACGGGATGTTTTTGGTCTTGGCCGGCGGGTGTGCCACCGCCGCCTCCCTGCACTTCTCCACGAGCGCCCTCGCGGGGGACAGCGGCAGGAGGTCGGCGTCCTCGCTGTCATCGATCGCGACCACTCCGCCCGCGCCCTCCTGCGCAGCCAGGCCGGCACACATCTGCTTGCGCGCCGGCGAGTCGCTGAAGACGTTCAGAGCCTCGGTGTCCTCCCCCAGCGCCGCGAGAGACGCCTGGCGAAAGAAGACGCCCATGTCGCCACCGGCACGGGCGCCTGCCGAGCGCTTGGACCCGGCTCCCAGCCCAGAGGCTGCACGGGCAGGCGAGGGAAGCACCGGCATCGCCAGCGGCGACTCATTCTTCAGACTCTTCACGGCCATGGTGAGCTCCTGCATGGTGCTCTGCAGCGACGACATGTACGCGGACTGCGGGTCGACGGCCTGCTGTGGAGGCGCCCACCCCTCGCTCTGCAAGTGCCGGACGATATCCGCCACCTTGTTCTTCACGACCTCTGGCCCCACAGGCGTGCCTCCGCGCAGGGACTGGGGGTCCAGCAGCTTCAGCAAGGACTCCACGGACTCGTGCACCCCTCCCGCCACAGGAAGGCACCGGTACTGCAGGGAACCGTTCTCCGTCGAGCACAGTTTCTCGATGACCTCGCGCTGCACGACAATCTTCAACTCAGCCATGTTCTGTTTCGTGGCCGGGTCTGTGCGAGAGGATAAGCCGAGGAAGTCGTGCACGCGCGCGTCAGTTGCATCCGGCTTGGCTTGCGACGGCCCTGTCAGAACAGCCTGACCGGCCTGGCCTGAGCTGGACACGGAGTTCTTGTGGATGAAGCGGCAACTGGATTTCTGGCATACACCGAAGCGCTGCTCCTCCCAGCACTTTCCCGTGCGCATGCCGGTGGGCGGGCCACCAAGGCGCGCGGGCTGCTGGCTGTTGTTGCCCATCAGACGGCCGAGCATGGACAGACCGGCAAGCGCGTCGGCGGACATGACTATTCAGAAAGAATCCCTGCAAGTAAGAAGTCCGAGATGCACCTCTGATTCACGAGCCCAATGTCACCCTCAAATACACAACGTGCCGCGCATACTGCAAAGAAGAGATAGATCAATGTGGGCAAGCAGAAGAAAGTGAACAGGCAGACAAGGAAGAACGAGGGGAAGAGGAGGAACAGCGAGTGGAAGAACATGACAATAACCCAATACACAGACCAATGTACACGCCGTTGGTGCCGATTATTATCGGTGAAAAACGTCATGCGCAGAGCTGGAACCCAGACAGTGCCGCGAGCCTCGGGCTGTCAGGAAACAGTCGCCGTCAGAATTCCCACCAGGGCGGCTGCCACCGAGAAGTCTTCACTATGGACTGGTTGACAACAGACAGACACCACGCATGCACAACCCACACATGTATATATAATTTGTGAAACGTACCAAGGATACCACAACATTGAAGAACACCACCACGTACTCACACATAGCTACACGTACGGCGCCAACCCACTTTCCGACATAATCCTATGGATAAAAGCAATCGCAGGGAATCTGATCAAGTCTTCACTTTGGGTGTCTGGCCGGATCAACTGGTCGAGGCGCGCGAACGGCATCCTGCTGTGAATGGAGTACACTGCTCTATGCACGCTTTGTCGTGTATGCCCTGCAGCAAGAAGCTCACGAACCTGATGCATGATAGCGGCTAGAAGTTGACGCCTACTCCCAATGTCACAATCTATTGTGCGCACGAGATGACCGACGAGATGACCTGCACGTGCTCGTGTGCTACCATAAGATGATGATGAACATAACCTCCCCAAATGACCACATGGACCCGTGATGACGCTCTCGATATATGAACTCCAAGCCGTAACATGAAAACGACCACCAACACGGAATACTTGAGTGCCTACAAACATAGTCCCCCCCTGGTTTTAGTACGCAATTACAGTTGTAGAATTCTGGATGAAGAAGATGATGGAGTAAATTGTCCCAGATCCCTTCCCTCCAACCCAGAAGCCGGTCGTCAATCCATCGTACTGCACACAGATGCATGTCCAAATTCGAACGGGCATTGGCCGATAAAGATGATAAGAAACGTGTTTCCTTAATACTCGCGTACATGTTTGCTGCACCTGGGGATATAGGACTTCCTTGCGGTAGCCCCTCGGGAGAATGATAATGCTGCGTGCCAATCCGGAACCATGCAAACTTCATGTCGTACGCAATGATGTATGGTATGTCGTCTATATATATATATATTGATTGATATCCTTTCCCCTTCACGCCCATGCACCCCTCCACCTTGTTGGCAGCATTTGACGAACGAAAGGATCGCCACCCGGACGGGCCCGGGCGATCTCCATACACCCATGTAGTACTTCTCGTGTGCGGCGAACAACCCCGGCTGATGCAAATATAGTTATGCCCAGTCTGTTGCTTGTATTGTGCAATGGCCCATTTGACCTCTGCGAGCAGGTCGGCGCGAGGGAGCTGAGGGAAAAAAATTTCAATATCGCTTACGTCCAATCCCAAGCGGAACGACGTTGAATTGGGGACGGCACTGTTGAAGTTGATGATTTTGGTGCGGAATTCCCCCATTGACAACACAGAAAAGCCAGGGGCAATTGCACTTTGGACATGATGAATTGCACGGCACGCAAGCGAAAATAATACCCTCCAGTGATGTTTTTTATGTGATACCAGAGGCCGGAATTTAAGCTCATCCCATGTAGTACTCCGCGGAAGCATCGACCTCAATTTTACCCACAATGTGAGCGCCCCAAATTGGTGGCGAGCGCCTGCTTGAAGAGAACAGAAGGGTAACTCGATCAAGCGATTGGGCCATGTAAAAAACTTCGCCGCGAAGGACTCCTGTTGCTCATTTGATATGGGAACAGTGCCAGATTTATCCAAATATGCGCGTACACAGCGTGAATACATACATGGACACAAAAATGCCATCTCCCCCCGTGCCTTGTCGACCGGCGTGATAACAAGGCCCCCGTACTTTGCTTTGAGCTCCATAGCGATTGTCTGCGGAATGCCTTGTTTGTGTGCGTCGAGAACTGCAGATATTGATCGTGTGACGAACGTCACGTCGCACATCTCCCCGTTATGGAATTTGCCAAAAATGTTTTGCAAGTGCCCACCGATGTTACCAACTGAAATATCAAGATTGGGTACAAACTTGGATCTTGCATTCCACGCATGAGGCAAACCAGGGGCAATGTCTGACTTCACTTCGCTGAGTAGACAACACACATGGTTCTGGACTTTGGGGACCTGGAGAAACGAGGCTCCTCGCACTGACATTGAACGACACCTCGATCAAAGAATCTCGCCAGCTGCTGCCTTGAATTCTCCATAATGTCTAGTAACCCACGTGCCGCCGTTGTTGTCATGGTTAAGCATACAATTACAACGATGTGCTTGTGCTTGTGCAATGATGCAATGTGGTACTTAATCCAACGACGAACAGCAACACGCACAGCATCATGACACAGTACAGGATCACGGAGATGCACGCGCACATAATCTTGACCACGGCGCCCGCATGCTATGGATAAGTTATACATGTACATGTGCTTATCCCTGTCCCCCAAATGACGCATAGCTGTTGATGTCATACGAAGTCTTTGGATTGGCGTCCACCCACGGATGATGTTGATTAGACGATGATTTGTTTTTCCTTTCTGCCAAATCGGTCTCCTGGACAGCTCGACCAGGGTTCGCAACCGGCGTCTCCATCCAGTTACTGATGTGCCCCCATTTGGTACTTCAATGGCAGCAGTCTCAAACTTGCGATCCGGATCATTAGCTACTCTGCCCCGCAAGGTCATGACGCCCCGATTGTTCGACTTGGGCAGGATGATCTCGCTTCGCTGCTGGCCAAAGCCCCACGGACCGGCGACCACTCCGTTGACGTTCAGAGACGGCCTGAAAAGGGTGATGCATTGAGCTTCGATGAATTCCCTGTCCGCCTTCAGGTTTGCGACGTTGTGCAAGGGCAGAAAGGGGAGGAATACGAACTTGACCAGGCCTATGCGCCGGAGAGTAGAATACAGTAAACCTTTATCGACGCCCCCTGTCATTGTATACATATGGCTTTTCAAACGTTCCCACCCCGTACTACCACTTTGACCGATATAACAATGACGGGACCATGGCGCGAAAAAGCCGTATATGACACCTGGTGTCTGATGATCGACACGACCGAATTGTTGTTCAATTCGACGAAGAAATGACCAGATATAACGATCATGTCGCGTATGTGAAAACCGTACAAAATCTTTATACACAATGTTCTTGCGATTTCTATTGTTTTGATGTTATCCCACACGTGCGCGCGTACAATGCATGGTAACCTTGGCATGTACATATGACCCCGAGATTGAGCATGCGCGTGCGACTGGGTATCCACCAGCTGTACATGTCCAGCGGGCAGATGTGGGCCCACAGGAGTAATGCAAAATCAGTGGCTCCAGGATTTACCACAGTTTGGACAGCCCTGTCTGCGATTCGGAACCAAATAAGCAAGCGCAGACAACTGGCTGAGAACCTTGAATGCCCTTCCTGCTTCTCTGTGAATCGTTCGTGCATCTCCGTCGGTAACGCCTTCGTGCCGGAATTCCCACGCATGTGCTCCTATCTGAACCATTCTGGCACACCACGCGACCAGGATTGTATGCGCCAAGAGCGTGACAGAGCTGGCTGAAGCGGCCCGCGGGTTTCGAGATAGGTCTGCTCCGTACACCGTCTGGTTCACCCCTCGCTGTTGTAAATGAACACATGAATATGTATGCCGACAACAATCGTGCACCATGGTTTCCCTCTCGTCTGCCATACAACACCCATGCGCATACGCAGTGCATCATGTTGTTCATGCTGTTCGTGATGCTCATGTCATTCGATCCTGCATACCCCCATGGCACACAAACACATACACATGTACCCAATGCCCCACTGACAACGCAGATAATACAGATAACACTGATTGCATTGAGAAGGCCATGCGTTCCAAAGCCCCTTACCATCACAACAAAGTCTTTCGCCAACGACGCCAGCTGACGCAACTGGATAAACATTGGCGTTGAGAGGAACATCGCGTTCGCTTCTCTTTCAGTGGCTCTCTTCACGACACCTGCGAGCCGAAATCCTGCGAACGGCGTGCATGCTGGCCCGGGACAGACACATAGAATGAACAGGAAAGGGATGGTGGACGGCGGCAAGAGCGAGAGACGAGAGAGGGAGAGCGAGCAGGAGAGGAGAGGAGAGGAGAGGAGAGGAGAGGAGAGGAGAGGGACAGAGAAAACAGAAGAGGAGCGGAGAAAAAAACGAGAGGAGAGGAGGAGAGGAGAGGAAAGGAGGAAAAAAGGGGGGACGAGGAAACCACAGGTTGTTGCATTCAACCACTCCACACACAAGCGGGTTCCTTAGCTCATCCAGCAGCGCGGGCAAAAGGAACCCCGGGGCAAAGATGACGACGGCCGCCGCGACGAAGCCCCGTCCGGGTAGCAGGCGAAGCCGATGTGATTACCTCGCCTTGAGGCTTCTCTTCAAGCGAACGCCCCGCCAGGTGCCCTTGAAGCCACAGCTCTGCCCGCTGGAGCCGAATTCGTTTGCATCCTCGCGGAAAACGCCCTGGGCGAAAACGAGCCGAGTGACAGCAGCGCTGGGACCATCCCCAAAGCAAGGACTATCGTCAATACGGGAACCATCGGCAGCAGCCACCTGCTCGTCCAGGGGCACATCAGCCTGATCCTTCAAGACCAGGGCGTCCGACGCCGCGTTGTTGTCGTGCTCGGTGAACTGGAAATGATCCTTGCGCACACTGAATGGGAAGACGGACGAGTTCGGCTCCATCGGCTCCATGAGCTGCGCATCGCCCTCGCGCTGCATCGCTGCACCACCGCCCTCAGAGCCGTCCGCGACAAAAGGTGGATCCTGCGCGAGGGTAACTTGACGTCCGGCGCCAGAACATCCAGGAGGTCGTCCACGTTGCATGTACCGCCACAAACTTGGCGTGCGCCAGCCCTGGAAAGAATGGCCGAGACTCAGAGCGCAACGTTGTGGGTTGAGAGGCCGACGGCACCACCTGCTTCTCGACCTCGGCGTCGCGCTGCAACTCGCCGAGCTCCGCATGGCACAGCACCTCGGAGGCATGTCTCGCCGAGTGGACGCCTGCGCCTACGCGTGGCCCGCCCGGGCTGCGATCCATGCCTCGCGCGGGGCACCAGCACCGTGGTATACCGCTGCAGGCCATGCAACATTCCGTCTTAAACGACGGACACCAGAAAGAAAATCTCCAGCCACAATGGAGCGGCGGGCAGGTCGTGCGCCGGGCGACCTCGTCAGCGGGGCCATGCTGACGAGATCGCAGCCTATCCACTTCCTTGCGGAGCACGTCGATCTGGCCATTGAGATTCTTCACCAGGTTGTCTGCGGCGGCCCGCACTGCCGCTGCGCCTCGAAGAGGCGGATCCCGTAGCGTCATGCCCAAGCTGATCACATCCAACGACACCGGACTGGACGCATGCCATGCCAACTCGAGCCAAGGGGAGTCGCCCGCTGATGGGAGGCTTGAACCAAAATGGCTACGGTCTGAGGAGCAGGGGAGAGGAGAGGAGGAGAGAGGAGGTGCGGTTTCTCTGGGTTCTTCCGCGCCAGAATGGTGGGCAACACAGCGGGCGCCGCGCACCCTTGCCCGAGCCCACCAAGCCCCTCAGCGATTCGCCTTCGCCACTCGCTCGATCTCGTCCTCGGGAGTGCAGCGACTATCCAGAGGAGGAATATAT